ACTACTGCTACTACTGCTGCTATTATGACTCCGTCGTGCCCAGTGGGTGACAAAAAACTGCTGCTATTATTCTTATTCCTAGTCGTATAGTTGCTTTTTCAGTGTGTAATTGTTATGAAGTTAATTATGATTGCTATTTTCATTATTCGGAGTAGTAGTCGTGGTTGTGGTAGCTGGCAGTAGGAGCAGCATCAGCAACATTGCTGCTTGAACCATTGTTGCCAGGCATCATGCTTCTTTGTTCTGCGTTGCCGTTTGTATTTCTGCGTTCGTTGTGATTGTCACCATAGATCCGGCACGCCCGAACTCTGAGTTTTTCAGGGTGCAGGGCTGGTGGATGAGATGGCAGGCACCGGAAGCCCGAAATCAACCCCGGAGGCCCTGGAGATGTAAAGGCATCGGATTCTCATCACCGGCCCTGATGGCCCTGCAAGCATCGCATGCGACTTGAGGCAATGTCCGGCCTGGAGAGGCTAGCAGAGATGATGGAGAACCCCGTCGGCGATGACGACACGGACAGGGGCTTGCGCAAGTTTTCGGTGCCGATTGTTCAGTGGTTTGCTGCAGGCATGTTTAAATTCTGTACACAGCCGCGTGCTTGCATTGCGGTTCGTGATGTGCGGGGACTTCAGGTTTTTGCAACCCCAAGAGCCCAAGATCAACGAGCTGTTAAGGGGCTCCTAGGCAATTGAGGGTCTTGTCGGCTTCGGTCTGCCCTTCCTCCAGTGGAAGACATTGCGAGGATATCAACCTCCTACAGCAGCTGCATGAGCTCGAGGTGGGTGCGCAGTTGGCCATTGAGCCTCTGGGACTGGAGGAACTGACATTCCTACCGTAGTAGATTAGATTACATCATTACATCTTATCCTAAAGCCGATGAGGTTCATACTCCATTGTTTCCGGACCGTGAGCCCGGAGCAGGCAGAGGAGATGAACTCTCCCTTTATCCATTCTTTGGGAGAGGTGAGCTTCCGAAAGGAACAGGAGGTTTGCTTTTATTCTGAGCCGTTGAAATGGTCATGATTTCAAGATCTGCGTGGAGTTATTCTTAGATTTTGCTTTTCTGTCTTGCACCAGGCTGCAAGCCATGTTAGCTCCTATATTCTTGTATACTTAAAAAAAATCATAGTGACTATATTGTAGCAGACCATAGCATGTCGTAACCACCTCTGATCGTATTCCGTGGTACCTCCCATTTCATCTCAGCTCCTCTTTGGGGCCAATCTGAGGCTCTGCGAAAATCGTCGGAGCATGTTACGGAGGACCTTGGCCAAGGCTTCCCAGCGCGATGGCTCCAAACATCCCAAAACCCCGGGAGACCCCTAAGCCTTAGCGAAGCGTGCTCCGGAGTCGGATATCATCGGAGATTGTTTTTGCGACGTGTGCAGTGCTACGCGCCCCGAGATGCCTGTGCCTATAGAAACCCATGCATTTTTGCAGACCGAACGATGATGCTGCTGGAAGCACTCCTTACTGTAAGTGTTCAGTAAGGGTAAGGGTGCAGACAGTCTGTCTGTGTCCACGGCCCTTAGCGCGGCGTGCTGCTAGGGTCTCGCTCCGGCAGCGACGAACCCGAGCCTAAACGAGAGCGAGAGAGAGACAGAGCGAGAGAGCGTAAGCCGCAAGTAATTACTACGAGCGGGTAATCACTATGTGCGGGTTCCCTCGGTATTTGGAAAGAAGATTGAAGAAAGACAGAAGCAAGTACTTCCATGGATGCATGTTCAACGACCGCAGCTCTAAACTTATGATGTTTGGTACTTTGTCGTGTGCACAAACGATAGTCTACCCAGAACATTAACGAGATGTTTTGACTGCCCGCCAGGTTTGCCCGAGCTGCTCGGAAACCTCGAAGTTCTGGAAAAACAAGCCGCCCTTGGTACCGCCAATCCACTTTGAGGCCAGGGCTCAGGGATGAGGGCCCTGAGCAGATGCTTGTGATGCAGTGGAGTTCGGCTTGCGACTTTAAGGTTTGTGGATTCGGAGATTGTGCAAGGCAGGTTTATCTCCACTCCAGTCATGTCCAGTTTCTACTTCGCAGCTTGGGAGATCAGCAAAACAAGAGCTCGGTCTTTGCTGCTCGGGCGCAGGGCCTTCTTGGACCGTTCCGCGACTGATTCCCAGTCTGTATAAGGTCTACGGCTGGGTGGCAGTGTGTAACTGTGTCACTGGTAAGGGCTCGTTGAAACAAGTTTCGGGTCCCGAACCGAGGGTTACAAGGCATGCCCGTCCTGTAATTAAGGTGGTGAATGATGCTTTTGGACGTGCAGCGCAGCTTTGCCTTGGTCAGAACCTCCCAGTATTCTTGTCCCTGTAGTTGCAGTTGGTGGGGCTGCTGGGGTGTGAACTGCCTGCTTTGCAGGACTACTTCTGCTGGCTTCCAATCCCGGCAGCCATTGCCGAAGGAATGGCTTCCAAGCCGCAACAAGGGCCTTCGAGATCAGCTCTCCTGCGCTCTGCTGCGCTCTGATGAGCTGCGTGCTGTGATGCTGGTTCTGGTAAGCAGGGAAACTAAAGAAATGCCTAGGCTGAAACAGTCACTCTGTCAAGTCGCTTAGGACGGCATGCTTGTGCTATGACACGGTCTTGCAGTGATGTAATTCTGAACGTCTTGTCCCAGTTGCACAGTTGCTGTCGCTAGAAGACAAATTCACAACGAGGACGATGGCGACGCACGTGCAGAAGGAAATGCTGGCAAGCACTAGTCACTAGGACTAGGAGTATACTGATCCTGAAAACACCGCAAAACAGGATCCTTAAACCTGTCAGGTTGGACCCCCCAACAATGCCTGTTGTCTATACTGGAGACCAGGTTATGAAGCATGGCCACGTGGACCACGTCCATTGGGCCTTCTTCGAGGGTCATATTGCAGAGTTCCGAACTTTCCTGCGGAAGGCAGGGGGATTCTAAACTTGAGGGTGTGCGTCGTGTGGGGAGAGGGTCGAGGTTAAGGGTTAACAGGGGCACGTTTAGGTGTGTCTATGTGGAGATGCTCACAACTCCATACTTAACTTTGGCACCGCGGTAGTTTTCGCAGTATGTACCATATTGATCGATGAAATGCTTTGATCGTTCCACAAAGAGTGGCTGGAGTATGCTGCTCCGACAAGTAACTCCAAGCAGCTACAGCTTTCGTCAGAAGAAGCACCGAGCTGCTGATTGATGACTTTCCGCAAACTGCCAAGCACGGCTTTTTTGGCCGGCCAGCCTCGGGACAGCTGAGTGGAATTGTATGACAAGGTGAGCTTGAAAGAATGCTCTCTAGGACGCAGGCGTTGCCCAGCTTTCTTCGAGCCCTGACGGGTCTCCGGCTTAGAAGACTGACATCTGCGGCCGATGAAACGAACAACTTAGTGGCCGGCGTGATCTTCGAACAGTATCCTGTTGTCGTCCACTTGTAACAGCTCCTAACCATGAACTCAGCATTGTTGGGATGCCAGATGCTTCTTTGCATAGATGGTTCTCACAAGCAACTCTGGCAAAGCTCGTAAACTACCTGAGATCCTATGATGAGAGTTTCCGAAAATTAGGGGTACCTTAAAATTGGGGTCCTTTATAATAAGGATCCTACTATTTAGGGTACCTGTATTAGGGTCCCCTATTTTCGGNNCCCCCCCCCCCCCATATACCTAAACCCTAAACCCTATGGGCTGTACTGCAGAGGCCCAGAGGCTCACGCCTAACGACGTCGTCATCGGACCTGGGGATAGTGTCGACTCTTTCCTTAAAGGACTGAGCCGGTAGTTTGTGTGGCAGTGCTAACGTCTCGCAGGAGCTAATAAGCTGTTGCTTCGCCAAAGTGCGTTCGTCGTACCAGAAACCTTGCCAAGGTAAGTCCGAGAGTGAGTGCTGAAACCCTATGGGCCAATGTGCTTCGCCATGTACCGGATATCCTCGCCTAGGCTCGTCCGAGTGTGAGTGCTGAAACCCTAAACCCTAATGTCTCACGCCGACTTCGCACCATGAACCTCGCCTGGCTTGTCCGAGTTGTGAGAGCGTAAACCCTAAACCCTACACATATACACACACACACTACATATATTATATACCTAAACGTTACGTCCATCCTAGACCTTCTTCGGCCCCCCCAAAGCAGGCGCTGAGACGCCATACGCCTGGCCGCCGGAGCGCCTATGAGGCCTGCTTTGTCTCTTCTTTTCTGCATTATAAGAAATGGCTACTATTATAAGGGCCTTATAAGGCCCTGAAAAAGTAGCCTTATCATAAATTATGATAAGGCTATACTATTAAGGGCCTTATATAAGTTATATATCCCTATTATGAGTATTGCTCAACTATAACTGAGTGGGGGCAGCATCCAATGTCTGGGGCCATGCAGCGACAGAGATGGCTTCAATTGTCTAGTGACGGCTCTGTGCATGGAAACGCCCAGCTCCGGGGCTCAGAACCTGAAGCCTGACCTTGGCACCTGAAGTACCTGAAGCCTCGAGCCAGGCGGTCTAGACTCTAAGATCCCATTCTGTCTCCGTCTGCAAAGCAGGAGGGAGGGCTAGCGGTCTGCACTGTAAAGGTTGTGGCCTTCGTGCGGGCACGAATGGTTCAGGTGGGAATCCCCACACCGGTCAATTTCATACCCTGAGCCCTTGAAACCCTCCTAAAGCCTTTGTGACGAGAAGTCTTAACATTGAGCTTGGACGCTGAACGGAGGCCATACCCCAAGATGCCAGCGCTGAGGACCTTCTTGGGTCCTTGCAGGGCTTCCCTTGGCAGAGCCTTTCAGAGCCTTTCCGGGTTGGGCTGGCCACGGGCCAAAGCCGATGTCCAGAGATTCAGATCAAACCGTTTTTTTCATAGAGGATTTGAGAGCATCGCGGAACCTAGGTGTAGTCTTCTGACAGAACGTTTAGGGCCGATTCATTTTTCAGTTTGGCAGGAGCTGAAGGTGTATCCAGAGGCTGAGATGGACAGCACCATGGGCATGATCCAGCGCGACACCAACCAGCCACCCTGCCACCGAATAGTTTTTTAATCTTTTGATTTAGGGTTTGGGGGCTCCGTGCCACTTCGTTATTTGCGACAAGGATCGGTTCGCAGGTTAGGCAATCTGCAGTTTCTTGCACAGAGCACAGCAGAGAAAATACACGTTGCTGAAGCCCACGGCGATCAACCATCAGTTCCTTTGACAGCCGTGCAGACCATCGAAGCACACGAGGATGGAAAGCTCTGGGCCTCCAGTACGGTCAAGATCCTGAAAGCTTGAATCCAGCACGCTGCTAGGAGGAGCTTCGCAGCTAGTACGCACGCGATTGAACTCAAGTAGCCCCCTAGGCCTTAGACGGCAGCCTGGGGCGCGACTCCGTGAGTTTCACGGGCACACCGTCTCAGGTTCTGGCACTACCTCGCCTTCCGGCCCGTGCTCAGTGGCTTACACGCGCAGGGCGAGCTCTCGAGACAGGCCGGATCCCACCTCCCTCGAACCAGGGCAGAGCAGTAGAGAAGAGCGGTCCGGGGTAGGCAGCTCGGGTTCGGAAAAGCTACAGCTTGCATGCAATCCTTGAGATCGGTCCGCGGCCGTGTGGCCGAAGATGAAATTGAGTGCCATAGCACAGGCATTCCAGACATAAAATCTTTCGCCTCTCGAAGCAGAAGCATGAGAACTTCGGGTTGTTTATGCAGGCAGGCCCGGGGTCAAGTTCCTAAGACTGATTAGTATGCTTCTCTAAGATCTGTTTCGGAACATGGCGAGAGCGATGCGACTGACTGGCCTCTTCGTCCTGCTGTCTCCTGCTGGAGCCTGGTTGGATTGGCTTTGGGGATCCGATCCGTCGCCGTTGTCCTTTGACCTCAGAAATGCACCGGAGCTCGTTGAGGACCGACGTCTCTTCCCAGATGCCTACAAGTCAGAGATGGCTTTCGGAACCTACCGGCCGGGTGTCTATTTCGGCATCAAAGGCCGACATGCAGCTGGGCTCGTCGACTTATACAGCTTACTATCAGGATATGGATAGCATGGTTTTATTCCGGCTCAGGTCATAATGATGCTGCAAATGTGCCGTCTGTCAGCGTCTATCATATATAGCTACACGGATTTATATTCCTTCTGATGGCAACTCCCAGGCTGGCTCCTTTCTGCTGGGCCTCGCCTGGGGCTCGATGGATGGCAAGACTTTGCGCCACGAGTGTGAGTCTGGGGAGCTCCAATCTTTCAACTGGCTCGAGCACCATGCTGATAATGCTCTTTTGTTTTGCACTTTTTGTGGCAGCCGGGAGGTTCCCCATAAGTCCTACAAGGGGGAAGGAACACTACTTGTGTGTGCCAGAACGGGCGCCAAGGCACGATGGCCGCAACTACGGCCGACAGGTCATCGAGGACCAGAAGCTACAAGCAAAGCTTCAGACCACCTTTGTGAAGGAGAGCCACCAGAAGCTGCACGCGCGCGTGGAAGCCGAGACCTTGTCGAACTCGAACTCGAACTCCACGCGGCCCATGTCTCTGTTCCTGTGCTTGGGAGTCGAAGCGGGAGACCACCACTTACAGGTGGAATCGCAAGACTCGGAGTGGGAGACGTGTGGAGACTTCTCCTGCAGATCGCTGGTGCTTACTGGCACTGACCCTTCGGGGCCCTTTCGGGCCCGGCTCTCTTTCACGGCCCGACTCTCGGGACGCAGACATCGTCTCTGTTTTGTTTGTGGTTTTGTGTTTTGTGTGCGCGTGCGTGTTAGGTGTTGTTTCTTGTGTCTCTCGTTGGATTCCCCCTCCCGTCGAAGCCACACCAAGGAAAGGCTCGATTCCATCAGCTGTCGACTCGTGTGGTTCACGAAGTGGAGAGCAGCGAGGAGGACGCTTCTCTGACAGGAGTCTGGGATGCTCGGAAGCACCTCCAGGATCATTTCAAGCGAGTTTCCCTGAACGCAAGCAAGGGCACCAAAACCATCCGTGTTCTGCCCGACTCGGAAGTGCGGGACGCCAACTTCGCTGCATTTCAGCTTGCGGGACCCTTAGCCGGACTTCGCATTGACGCGCACGTGGCCTTCGGTGGTGCTGACCTGGGAGCGCGCGGCGTGGAAAGCCTTCAGTTGGCGGAGCTTGCGAAGAGGAGCTCCGAGGCGTTCAAGGCGCAGGTCGCTGAGGTTTTCTTCGATGGCTCCTCGAGCGAGAAAGCGCGGGCAGCCTTCGATGGCGTGGCCGTGGCTCTCTCGAGCCTTTTAGGTGGCCTCGGCTCCTTCCGTGGTCGTTTGCTGGCACGGACGGGGGAGGGAGCAAAGCCAGTGCGGCTAGCCAGCTCGGTGCTCTTCTCCGGAGTGCCGAGTCGCTCCTTCTTTCCGAGGGGCTTCTTATGGGATGAGGGCTTCCACGGTTTGCTCTTGGCCCGGTGGCAGCCGCGGATTTTTTTGGAGGTCCTGGGGCATTGGCTGGAGCTTCAGCAAGAGAACGGCTGGATCCCTCGCGAAGTGCCTTTGGGAGCCGAGCAGGAGAGGCGAGTGCCCAAGCAGTTTTTGACACAGGATTCCAAGGTCGCGAACCCTCCCAGCTTCCTCCTTCCCCTCTCCTGGCTCCTGGGTCTTGGCCTAAAAGAGGATGAGAAGCTGGCAAGGCAAGCCGGGCTCTCCGGCAAAGAGCTCCGGGACCTGGTGCTCTCCTTCAGCGCCCAGGCTCTCCCCCGCTTGGGAGCCTGGTTTGCCTTCTTGGAGAAGAGCCAAAAGTCCTCGAACCCGAAATGCTTCCGCTGGCAGGGCCGCACGGCTGCACATTGCTTGGCCAGCGGCTTGGACGACTACCCTCGTGGTTTGCTGGTGAACGAGGACGAGTGCCACCTGGACTTGCAGAGCTGGATGGCCCTCTTCGCAAGGACGCTGGCCCGGCTCTGCAAGCACCTCGCAGAAAAGAAAGAAGCGCTCAGCCAAGAGGCAAACAGTGCCTGGTGCCTTTTACCTCGATGGTCCGAGCGGGCAGCGACTTTGAATGCGAGCCTCTTTGAGGCTTTCGTGGACCCCAAGGGTTCGAAAAGTGCTCCCTTGGCAGACTTCCTTGGCCTTCAGCCGGTCGAGCGCAGCGGAAAGGTCCGGGTGTTGCCTCCCTGGCGATCCGACGGGCGATGTGGCCCGCAATTCCCGGTGGCCGGGTCTCCAGGCGAGTGCGACCCCTATGGTGGCGCGCCCTGCTGCTCACCTTCTGGCTGGTGCGGCGGATCACCCGACTTCTGCGAGTGTCCTGGCTGCAGGCGCTTCCTCAAGCTCGAAGAGCGAAGTTCCATGCAGACGGGCATGGAGAAGGCCTTCTCGTCACATCTGGGCTACGTGTCGCTGTTCCCCCTCCTTTTGGGACACCAGCCCTGCGACCACCCAAGGGCCGCAAAGCTGCTGAAGGCTTTGGCACCCGAAAAGGGGGAGCTTTGGAGTCCCTTCGGCGTCAGGTCGCTCTCCCGCAAGGACCCCCTGAGCCGTCAGGGCGAGGATTACTGGCGCGGGAAGATTTGGGCGAACTTGAACTACCTGAGCCTCTCCGCACTTCAGAGGTGCTCTCAGATACCAGGGGCCAAGGAGGCCTACGACTCCCTGAAGAAGGGCTTCGTGACGGTTGTCTTGAAAGCTTTGCAGGAGCAAGGCTTCTTGATGGAGAACTTCGACCCAGACACCGGCAAGGGCACCGGGGCCGCACCCTTTGCAGGCTGGACTGCTTTGGTGGCCCTGGTACTGGCAGACCTGCCCTTCGCGGACCTCGCTTCACCGCTGGAAGACTCGCACAGAGAAGACCTCTGAGGCAGGCCGCCTGTGCTGGCTGCCCTTGCTACGAAAAAGGCGTCGCCGGGTTTTGAAGTTGGGAGTTGAGATGTCGACTCGACTCCTCGTGCAGGTCGGGTGTTGGAGAGCTTCGGATAAGGTGTCCGGAGAACGAACGATGCAAGCCGGGCGGCCCCTTTCGCAGGGTTGCCCTGCCAGTGTCTCCTAGCTTCGGTGAAGAAGCTCGAACGCTGGACTAATTTCTCTGGCAGTTGCGCAGCCCTGATGCTGGCACACCCCCTTAAGCGCCCTGGTCAGGTTGGTCCGAGTCTCGGTTTTCAGTTGAGTGCCTTGAGGTTGGCGTCGCGACTTTGTGCGCATAGCCGCCACCGAGATTCCTCTGATGTTGAAACATGGAGTTCACCTCAGCAAAGGAGCCTGTGTTCGACCGTCCTGCACAGGCGCTTTGGAAGAAGCGGATCGTGCACATGCTTGGCCAGGACAGAAAGAAGTTGTGAAGGTGGTCGCGATTGGCAGATGTCACGTTGCTGGTTGATACCGTTTGAATCCGTTTGAAGGCGGACTGTCACGGCATCCAGATATCCTTGAGATCCCTTCAGGCTTCATCCTGGTTCAACTTTCGTTAAATGACCGGCAGATCTGACACCGGAAATCGAGGGAGGGGTGGGGGTTCTCTTGTCCGAAGGACGTGCGGCAAAGAGCAGGGTGAAAACATGGCATCAATCTGGCAAGCGTGATGCATACGCGGCAACGTACCACAAGTTTTTGGACGTGGAATGCGGAACGTCCGCAAGCATTGCCTCAGACTGCCGGTCATTTTTGCGGGACCCCCACAGAAGCAGATTAGATGTCTGCGGAAATACACGAGCTCACGTAGGTCGGAGCCGAAAAATACATGAGAGAAGTCGGCATCAGAAGACTAATGACTCCTGACATGGCTGACATAGTTGTCGAGATTCGTTCGGAACGCAGGAAGCGCGAGGACAGGGATGCTAGGGAGTCCCAGACCCGTCGGTAAAAGCTCCGGCTTGCTGGCAGGACCACCCTGCATCATTGCTGCTGGAGACAGAGAGTCCCGACTCTGCGCGGTCTGTCCTTCTGCAACTTGTTTGATACGGGCACTGTCAAATTATACAAATTACAGATCATCGTGTGATGTGCTCCTTCAGAGTTGGAATTCAGCATCAGCACGCCCCCAGGTGCGCACATCCTTCAGGTATATTGGATCCACGTCGCGGAATTCAGAGCCCCCAGCCCCCTCTGTCCTGAACCGCTGAATTCGCATCCTCCAAGGCAGCCCTTGGTGTCGCAGAAGCCGCGGAGGCATCACGTCTCGGAGGCTGGACAGGGCCTTTCTTCGTCGGGGTTGTTACGAAAAGCTCTTGCGAAGTATTCCGACATGAAGGAGGGGGCGTCCTTTTTGTAAGAAGCCATCATAATAATTACCGTGCATCATACCGTCGTGCCTGGAGGCAGATGGAGCGGCACAGGTTGATGTCCATCTCTACGGTCACTCATCCCGCTAGTTTTATTCTCATTCCCGATCTTTCAACCCGTAGGTGTCGGCATGGGCCTCGATATACAGATATATGTAACAAAGGATTTCCGCTGTCATGTTGGCATATTTTATTCGGTGGCTCGTGCATCCTTCCCTGACGTAGTCAAGCTATCCGTCATCAGCATCGATTCCAGTAGGTGCTTTGGCGTGTCTACAGGTACCGTATTCCTGTTTTCTTGTTGCGGCTGTTTCATCTCGTCGTCGACTTCGTAGACGTCGCCGTCGTCTAAGACCTCAGGCCGCCAGAACTGGCAGGCAGTAAGGCAGGCTAAGGCAGGGTCTTCTCTCTTTCATATGGTCGTTCCGAGGCCGACCGGCAAGCTGAAAGCCGCGTCTGAGCCTACTGAGGCCATGCGCGAGCTGTCTGCGCCAGGGAGCGGGCTGCAGCCCTCTCAGTCGGCCCAGGCTTATGACCCGCACTTGCAGCTTCCTGGAGTGACTTGGCGAAGGTTGAGGATTCGTGGCGACGTTCTGTTCCTTGTAGAGTCCCTGTCAGATCCACCTGATTTCCGGTCTCGAAGAGCCAGGCACACACATCGCCCCATGGGCAAGCCAAGCCTTCTCATTCTTTCTCCAGAGAATCCCCGGCGGCATCCCGATCTGGCTCCAAGAACAGCGTGGCCTACTTCGATGTCCATGCTCGTGAAATCAGCAACTCGGGTGCTGGTCATGAGCAGACCTGTGTACCACTACCCCCCCCGAGGTTGAACCCAAACTAACGAAGCAACTTGCTTGGCTCTCCAGCTACATAAATAGATGCTTTGCGTTGTCAGATCTGGGCAATCAAGGTAAAAGCGCGCCACTGCAAGGTTTCCGGGGCACGGACAACGAGCATCAGCCACGTCTGGCCTCTTTTCTGAAGCGATGAATTTCGCCAGAGAGTCCGCTAGAGATCCAAGAAGTATGGACCGGAGGCAAAGTGTGCTTTTGACTTGGGCCTTTTCGGATCATTGTCCTCTTCGTTTTTGATCAAAAGGCGTGCTCCAAGCGAACCCCCCAAGCCCGAAATGTTGCCGGTCTTCCATTCGTCAAGCCTGAATCCCTGGGCGCGAAAAATTCTGCTGATCTGAAGAAACTGAAGAACCGTGAATGTCGTAAGTCGGCTACATCGCTGAGGGATGGAGTTTTTCCAAGCGAGTAATCTGCGGTTTAGCTCATTGTGACTCGAGTCCGTGAGAGAGAGAGAGAGAGAGAGAGCTCATGGGCGATCAGATCTAGGGATCGGATTGTAACAGTCTTAGCAAAACCTTATAGTCCATATACACACATGTATGTATGCATGTATAGTAAATAAACAAATAAATAAATATATATATATGTATGTAAGACAAACCCCACAGAACCCTAATCGAATTATTCATGCCCCTGTCTGAAGGTTCCGGATTGAAGCTTCAGCGTCCATTGAGTGTCTTTGGGTGTCGGATTGAAGCGCCAAACAAAGAAGCATGACGGGTACGGGTTTAAGGTTTAGAGTCTAGGGTTTAGGGTTTTGAATGCAGCATCGTGCTACTCCAGTTCCACCAGTTCTAATTGCAGCCTGAACCCCCTAAACCCTAAACCCTAAACTTCAGCCCAAAACCTACTTTCATGTTGTCTGCAGGGCTTCTGATGGTCGCCCGAGCGCTGTCCAAGTTGTGGCGGTGGACACCTCGCGATGTCGGGGGTGGCGCAGCAATTGGGTCCTAGTCTTCCTCACACCTTCTCCTACTACGGTTTAGGAAGTTTAGGAGTTTAGGGTTTAGGGCTCCTGCTCCTGCTCCGACTCTTGCCCCCCTGCCTCTACTCCTACTCCTACTTCTTCTTCTGCTCCTTCTCCTCTTGTGCTCCTCCTCCTGCTGCTCCGATGGGGTCTTGGTTGTAGAACCTACTAAGTGACCTTGCTGGGTTGTGAAAGCCTGCGCTACGCAGCAACGAGAAGACTTTTGAGACATGAATCTTACATTAAATCCATCATCCAAAACAGGAGCCTTTATCATGGAATGGGGTTTCGGGTGTCGGGGTGCATGATAACACAAACTATCAGGGAACTGTAAAGGGATACTGCTGATGATTTATAGAACCCCCCCCCGCCCATATTGGACCCTAAACCCTAAACCCTAAGCCCTCTAAACTGTGCCTGTTTTCCAGGAGGAGCCGAAAACTGGCGGTTCGTGCCCAGAGTGACCAGGGATGACGCAGAGTCGTTCCTCGGACCAACGGGGGTTTAGGGTTTAGGGTTTAGGGTGCGCAGATTGCTCTGAAGGCCCTGGAACTTGACGTTACACCTCAAACCCTGAACCCTAAACTTAAGCCTGATTCCTAAATCTTTAGCCTTAAACCCTAAACCCTGAACCCTGAATCCTATGTAAATCTTTAACCCTAAACCTTAAACCCTAAATCTTTAAACCCCTACCTCGCCAGGATGCTTGGGCATGCCGGTCGGAGTGGCCCCACGGGCATCCAAGTTCGAAATGAACTCATAGTCCGTCGTGCCACCCGGGCCTTGAGACTGTAGGGCTTATGGGGCTTGTAGTGCTTAGGGCTCATAGGGCTTACAGGGTTTAGGGTTTATAGGGCTTATAGGGTTTAGGGTTTAGGGCTTATAGGGTTTAGGGCTCATAGGGTTTGGAGCTTAGGGCTTATAGGGCTTAGGGCTTACAGGGTTTAGGGTTTCGGGCTTGTAGGGCGTAAAGGCCCTTAAAAAAGATAAGACGATGTTATTACTAGTTGTTCAGACGAGTCTTCGCTGGACGCAATTTTGTGCTTAGAGACTGGGGTTGCCTCGCCCAGCCTTGTTTTAACAAGGATCCTACAGATTCTCTAACACACCCAAAGAACCCAATACCCCTTAATTAAGGAATATAGCTTAAATCGTAATATTAAGGCCCCTATAATTTAAGGCATTTAAGGTATATTCCTTAACTAAGGGGTATTGGGTTCTCTGGGTAGCACATGGGCTCTGAAGCCCTGGCAGCAATGTGGGAGTATGTAAGGGTATCTACCTTTAGACATTCTGTACAGCTGCATGCATAGATATGCACATACATATACATCTATAGACACATACACACACCCTAAGCCCTGAACGACAAGTGCAAACAAAACTACTGTATAAAGACATAGAGAGAGCGAGGGAGGAGAGAGAGAGGGCCCGAGTAGAGTTTATGGTATAAACCTAAGAAGCCCTGGTAAGACTCCGCATCCCACCAAAACCAGACATCTCAAATCCGCCCTAAAACCCCTCAGCCATCCGAAAGTTCGAAGCCTAACGACGCACTCAAACGAAGAGCTCCGAACTCGAGCCCAGTGGCTCAAGGGAGACTCGATGCAAGACTGCTGCGAACCCATGGCTGAGCTGACAGGGCGTCTCCTTCAAATGCTGGCCGATGCGGGCTGTAGAGATTGGAGTATAGCGAGCTATGGCCTCCGCTTCAACGGCTTGGGGGAGAGTACCCGGGGAAGCTTTGGGCGTGAATCTCCGTGGCCCCTCTTCTGCTCCCACGCAGGGAGCCTTCAGAACCAAACGGCTAAGGCAAAAAACTGGGTTATAACTTATAACCCTAAGGGTCCAAAGGACCTAATGATTATATACTTGGTTACTTGGGTTACGGATAGTAGCTTTGTAGGTTAATATTCAGAAGAGTATATGATTATTAGGTACTTGGACCCTTAGGGTAAGGCTTTAAGGCCGGATTTAAGGGTTTAGGGGTGGTGTAGAAGGGAGCCACAACTTTCAGCAGAGGTGTTCTGCTCAAAACTTCAGATGCCCCGATTGTTGTTTAGGGCGTTGTTTAGCAGCCCCTAGGCTTCCGATGTCATCCACAGCATCTCGGAAGAGAGTTGCTTTCCGAAACTTCCTGATCCCATGTTGGTGTATACCTTAAACCCCGAATCGCCTACCTTTTTTGAGGACCTATACAATTGCATCATATTCAGGGGAATTCTAAAAAAGGGTATGTTATTTGGGGACTAGGTATGGCTATAGGGTTAGGATTTTCCCTGCCATGAGGGACGACTACGTATCTTTCCACGGCAGCGTCCCCTCTTGCAGGAAGCCCCCGACGTTCAAAGGAGTATGGAACTGGCTTAGGCCGTAGGGCTTTAGGGTTTGACGGCTTGGGTTCAGGGTTTATGGTTGAGGGTTTAGTTTAGGGGTGAGGATCTAAGTGCCTTCTGGGATTAAAAGTCTGTGCTTAGCCGTCGACGAGATTGAGGGTTTAGGCTTTAGGGTTTAGGGGAATTGTTGCTGAAAGATACTCACAGGGTTCAGGGTTTGCCTATAGTCTCCATTCCGTGTTTGGGGTTACCTTATAGGATCGTAAATATAGAACTTCTTAAGCCAAAACAGGAACTTCAATGGAAAGTATACAGCTCGGGTTTAGGTTGTGATAGTACAGTACCAGTTAGTCTAGTTAATCAACACAGTTTTCTCCGACTTCCACAGCCGCAGAAGCGCTCCCCAGCAGAGACACTCCCACTACTTTAAATCTACTTGCGAAATCTCTAAACTCAAAGACGAAAGACGGACTCTTGCTGACATCAGGCGAGAGTTACGCGATGGCCAGACTTGAACTGACGATTGTTGATCGACAAGGCGCTTGTTACTGTTGGTGTTGGTGCACGAGCCGCAAGACCTTACTGATTGCGATTCTGACAATTAGCATGAAAACATAACACCCTAAACCCTAAACCCTATAAACCCTAAGCCCTAGACCCTCAACCCTCAACCTCTAAAAACCCGAAACCCTAGGGCCCTAGAGCCGAAACCCCTAACCTCAGGTCCACCCATCCGTAAAACCCCAAAGCGGACAGCCTCAAACCCTCGACCCAAATGGGAGTTTCCGAAAATTCGGGGTACCCTATTTGGGGATCCTTTTTCATAAGGATCCTACTATTTAAGGTACTCTTTTCGGAAACCCCCAAATGCGTCCCTTACTATCACAAGGAAGCCCTGAACCCAAAGGAAAGTTTACAAGAACCCAAACCCCGAAACCTTAAACCCAAACCTCTGAATCTTGATTTATAGACCCGGAATCGTAGCGGCTGCTTTTTTTTTCCGTGTGCAGGGGGGCGGCCAGCTACCGAAGAGGAAGAGAGCTGCGACCAACTAGCGACCTGAAGGCCAAGAAAGTATTTGATTTAGGGGTTTAGGGCTTAGAGATTTAGGGCTTCAGGGTTTGGGGCTTTGGGGCTTTAGGGTTTAGGGCTTTTAGGGTTTAGGGCTCTAGGGTTTCATGGTTTGGCGCTTTAGGGCTTTAGGGTTTGAGGGTTTAGGGCTGTAAGGTTTTTAGGGTTTCTCTAGAGGGTTTCTTTTTGGTACGTCTTTCGAAGTAGGGATATCATCAACTGTAACAAGACACTCAAAGCAACCCTTGTATTGTAAACCGTAAGTATAGTATCCCATATAGCAACACATATATATTAAAAATAGCCATCTTGCTGGGCCTTATATAGTAACCCTTACCAAACTCCAAATAGCCAAAAAAGAGCCTATCTGTCTCAAAAAACTTATACAAGCAACGCATAGTAAGGAGCCCTAACCCAGTACCCTAAGCTCAAAACCCAAAACCCCAAAAAAGGAAGGTTTTCTGGAGTTGGCCCCTGAGGCGCCCGGCATCCGACTTCCCAGCGGCTCAAGGTTTGCTGCGGGCCTGACAAAGCTAAAGGAAACTACAGGTGGGGAGTTTAGGGTATATCCAAGAGGGTCCATCTATACTACTATTATGGAATTAGGTCCCCAAAAACCCCACTGAGGATGGTATTTTGGGACATAATTCCATAATGGTAGTGTATATGGACCCTTAGGGTAGGGCTTCTATAAGGTAAGGTATATAGACCTTCTATAAGGCTTCCATAACGGTAACCACC